CGTGGCAGGGGTAGAGGAGATGAGGTCCAAGTGCCAGGAGCCAGGCCGTGTAGACCGTTGTGGAGAAGCCACTGGAGAATCGTGAGCAATGGAATCACAGTGACTTTTCTCAGTGTGCTGAGGACCTCATTCCACTCCCACACAGTCTGCTGGAGGGTCTGATGGGGCCTAATTTCTCCCTTCAAATGGGATATTTTCCCTCTCTCTCTGCTTTTAAGAACTATTCTGTCTCCAGTTACATTGTGATATGTCTAGCTATGAGATTTATTTGGCTCATCGTATTGGGGATTTGCTGTGCATCTTAAATATAGTCACTGTGTCTTTCATAAGCCAGGGTTGTCAGACTTAGCAAATAAAAATGCAGGACGCCCAGCTGAATTTGAATTTCAGGCAAACAACAAATAATTTCTCTGATATGAGTATATTCCATGCAATACGTGGGACATGATTATTCGTAGTTTATGTGAAAATTCAGATTTCACCGGGTGTCTGGTGTTTTATCCGGCAACCATATCAAGTTGAGGGCAATTCACGACGATTGCCGTTACCAACCTTCCCTTCCCTCCATTCTTTCCCTTCCTGCACCTCCAATTACAGCTGCATGACTCCGCCTCATTCTAGCCTCCTTCCCGCTTCACATGTCATGCTTTCCTGTTACCATCTGGGTCCATTCTTTGTCTGGTTCACGACTTTTCTCTACAGCTGAATATTCCGTCCTACGTAACACAACACTCGGCTTTAATTTTGAAGATTACCTTCATTTTGTCTGTTCCTTTTCAAATTCACCCAGAACGTTTTCTCTGTCCTTTAATTTCCTCCCTTGATCTTTAGCGTAGATTCTAGACATTTGCCTTGACGTCTGTGTCTGGCAGCACCGGGCTGCTGTGGGGGCTCCACGTGCTGCGGCTGCTTGTCCCTGCTGGCGCTTCCTCGGGCTGTGGGGCTCCCTCGCCCATTTTACGTCTGTGCCGGTATTGCCACCTAATCCCGGGGGCCCAGTCTGGGAGAGTCTATACAGAAAGCTTTGCATTTGCTTCTGCCAGGTGTGCCAGGCCACCACCAGCCTGGGACCACTTCAGGTTAGCTTCTTAGTTTAAGGTGTCCCAGATACAGGTAGCAGAACTGTAATTCCTAGGGGTAAACGGGGTCACTATGTAGTGAGACATCCCGTGGAAAGAGCTCTGAGGGAGAAAGCTATCTATGCTCCCTGGTGCTCTCCATTTGCCGACGCGGACATATTTTCTAGTTTCCTCTTTCCTTGGACCTCTCCCCTTCTGAGCGTGTGCTCTTTAAGCATGGACTCAGTTCCAATTCCCAGACAAAGCCCTTTGTCCTCTCCCTGCAGAGTGACTGAGAGTCGAGTCATCTGGAGACTGCAGAGGACACCAGGGCAGCCACAAGTTGGGTTTGGCGCTGCCCTCCAGCACCCTCTGGGATTTGTGGCCCCTTCCATGAGCTTCAGTGTTCATTTCACAGGGATTTTGTGACATTCTTGAGCGTTCCTCAGTATTTGTAGTGGATGCGTGGGTGGGACAGCCTGTCTGCCCCATTGCCATGGCAGAATCAAGGCCACTGTGGGGCATCTGCTCCTCCGTGAAAAGGCAGATCTCCAGATAGGCTCTCGAAGCTGCTGAGACTCAGGCTGTCCTATGAGTTCCTGGCTCCCAATCCTTTTATTTTTGTCTTAATATTTCAGCCAGTGCAGCCACGTGTCTTGTTAGGATTTTTGCCTTCACAAACTGTCATTATGCTCTGACTGGGCGCGTAGCACCAAAGTGGACACAAGACCAGTGATTCTCTTGAGTGACTTCCAGCAAGCCTTCGACAAAGAAAAATTACACTTGCTGCTTTGCAAAGGCATTGCTGCGTGATTGATTGTTAACACCAGTCTTTTGAAAAAGAAAAATATTTCTGCATTTTATTTCTGCTTAAAAGGCCTAACCCTTTGACTCTCAGCTGGCTACTTTAGAAGGTCTCTGATCCGTTAATATTCCAGCAGGAATTCTAAGTCTGTTATTGTTCTTGGGTATATAGATATATATATATATATATATACACCATACATTCAGCACTTCCGCCTATGGCTGACACTTCAGGAAAAGAATCAAACTGAAGCCCCATTGGTTCCACTCCTTCCGTTTACAGGTGCAGTTGTGTGTCACATGCATGGTTCTTATAAATTCAGACAAAGCAGCCAAGAGTCGTGCACTGATATGGACCAGGCACTGAGTGAACTCAGTACCTCTCAGCTGTTGACCCAAAAAAGAGTTCCCAATTTCTCCAGAGTGTTCCATTCATATACAACAGGTTTTCTTAGCTAAGAACGGATATGCAGCATGCATTTTCAGCAATCATCAATTTCTTAGCACAAATTGTTCGAATATTTGCTCAGTTGGCAGATTTTTCACCGTATTCGTTGTTCTTAGATACGTTTTGTGGGCTGGGCATCATGGCTCACACTAGTTATTCCAGTGCTTTGGGAGACCACAGCGGGAAAGCCTCTTGAGGCCAGGACTTAGAGACCAGCTTGGGAAATATAACACGACCCCGTTCCTACAAAAAATAAGAAGTTAGCCAGGCGTGGTGGCATGCACTTGTAGAGCTGCTCAGGAGGCTGAGGCAGGAGGATCCCTTGCGCCCTGGGTTTGAGGCTGCAGTGAGCCACGCTCACATCACTGCAGTCCAGCCTGGGTGACACAGCAAAGCCTTGTCCCTAAATATGCACACAGAAAGAGACACACACATATACGTGTGTGTGTGTATGTGAGTGTGTGTGTGTCTGTGTATAATATATACTATATATACACATATATATACACACACATATATACATGTTGCCCCTTATCTTCAGGAACTGCTAAAAGCTGACAGTACAAATAAAAAAGAAGTGAAGATATTAAAAGAACAAATGGAGGCTGGGTATGGTGGCTCACACGTGATCCCAGCACTCTCGGAGGCTGAGGCAGGCAGATCACTTGAGGACAGGAGTTTGAGACCAGCCTGGGCAACATGGTGAAACCGTCTCTGCTAAAAATACAAAAATTAGCCGGGCCTGGTGGCACATGCCTATAGTCCCATGTACTTGGGAGGCTGAGGCAGGAGAACCACCTGAACCCAGGAGGCAGAGGCTGCAGTGAGCCAAGATTGTGCCGCTGCACTCCAGCCTGGGGGACAGAGGGAGATTCCGTCTCAATAAAAAGAAGAACAGGCTGGGCGCGGTGGCTCAAGCCTGTAATCCCAGCACTTTGGGAGGCCGAGGCGGGTGGATCACGAGGTCAACAGATCGAGACCATCTTGGTCAACATGGTGAAACCCCGTCTCTACTAAAATTACAAAAAATTAGCTGGGCACGGTGGTACGTGCCTGTAATCCCAGCTGCTCTGGAGGCTGAGGCAGGAGAATTGCCTGAACCCAGGAGGCGGAGATTGTGGTGAGCCGAGATCGCGCCATTGCACTCCAGCCTGGGTAGCAAGAGCGAAACTCCGTCTCAAAAAAAAAGAAGAACAAATGTAAACTAATCAATTCAGTTTGATTTGGCAGCTTTTCTTTCTTTCACAAACACATGCGATCAGCTGTGAATGTGGACCACATGCAGGCGCTGTAATCACGCCCCTGTCCCCCTAAGGAATTAGACGCAGTGCAGCAGTTTTTCAGCAGCTTCCACAGCCAGTTCCTCAGCATCCAAGGGTTCTGTCTCCTGTGCAAGGTGAATATCACTGTTATTCATCCCTTTAGGATGCTGTGGAGGGTGAATTATGGCTCTTTACTACAATTCATTATTCAGCTGAAAACTGCAAATCAACATGAAGATGTAAAATTGAATGTTTCCCATAGCAAGTGTCATTCAGAAGCAGCGGACACCGACTGAGGGGTTAATGCTGGACCTTTGACCTCGAACACAGGACTCGGAGAGTCGGAGCATGTGGGAGGGAGAGGAAAGTTTCAGCCAGGAAGATCACTCAAGCAAAGTTGGGAGAATCTAAATTTTGTGTTTTCGTGAGACCAAGATCAGTCTGCCTAGAGCAAGATGTTCAAGTTTAAATAAAAAATGACAGAGCAGGTACAAAAATGCATGCTGAATATCACTTCTTCATGGAGTGTGCCTCATCCTGCTCAGGCTGCCACAGCAAAATACCATAGACAGGCTGGCCTGTCCACAGCGGCGCTGGAGCCTGGACATCTGTAATGAAGGGGCTGGCAGCTTCCCTGTCTGGTGACGGCTGCTGCCTGGTTCGAAGACAGCATCTTCTCATTGCAGCCTCACAGGGTAGAAGGGGCGAGACAGCTCTCTGGGGTCCTTGTAGTAAAGGTACTGATCTCATCCATGGGGCTCCACCCTAATGACCCCGTCACCGTCCAAAGGCCTCATCTCCTAACACCATTGCTTTGGGGATTAGGTTTCAACATAGGAATTTGGGGAGGGCACAGCACTCAGCCCATAGCAGAGCGGATCACTACAAAATATGTTGAAGCAGCTAAGTGACACAGCGTCCTGGTTTAGAAATAGAAACTTACTGAATTTGCAAAGAGAGGTTTGTATGTTGTTTACGTCCTGGTTGAAACAGTGAAACACAGCAATGTGCTCTCAGGTGTTCATGCAGTTTTTCTTCTTCAGTATTTTCATAGAGTATTTAAGCCCCTAAACCTTTATTACAAATAGGGTTGACAGATTGACAAATAAAGATTCAAGTCTCTCATTGAATTGGAATATCAGATAAACAGCAAGTAATTTGTGGTATGAGAGTATGTTTCATGCAATATTTGAAATACACTGCTGTTAAAAATTATTCACCATTTATCTAAAATTCAAACGTCGCTGGGCGCTTTATATTATACCTGGCAACCCTAGTTATAAAGCCAGATGGTTAGAAAATACTCCGTCTCTATAAATCTCATGAATATTTTATAGATTAATCTCATTAATATTTTATAGATTATTCAGATGTAGCATGTTTCTAAACAGATTCAATGTAACATACACTTAAAAATGCATTTTACAGAAAAATTCTACCCTGATGGCTCCAGAGAAATTGTGTTTCCCGATGGGACGGTGGAACGCTTCCAGGATGGATGGGAAGAGACCTTGTTTCCTGACGGGACGATCGTAAGGGTGGAAAGGTTGGTAATGTCAGATGATGCCAATCCAAAACATCCCAATTTTTGGTTTTTGTATTTAATAATTTCCTTAAATTGACTTAGAATTTTGTAAGCATTTAAGTGCTTGTATAAATAATAGAAAATAAGTCATCGACTCTAGAAGTTTTGTCTTATGGCCTTGATTCGAATCCCTTATTGGAGACTGTGGGATTGACTTTTAGGTATTTACTTCACCGACATTAGCTGTGTTTGCATCATAACCGTAAAAATCACTACAGTTGGCCGGGCGCAGTGGCGCACGCCTGTAATCCCAGCACTTCGGGAGGCCGAGGCAAGCAGATCGCCAGGTCAAGAGATCGAGACCATCCTGGCCAACACGATAAAACCCCGTCTCTACTAAAAATACAAAAATTAGCCAGGCGTGGAGGCCCATGCCTTTAGTCCAAGCTACTCGGGAGGCTGAAGAAGAAGAATCACTGGAACCAGGGAGACAGAGGTTGCAGTGAGCCAAGACCACGCCACTGCATTCCAGCCTGGTGACAGAGTGAGACTCCGTCTCAAAAAAAATCCCACCAGTCTTCAGTGTCTCCCCACCTCGGACCACGCAGACTAGAAGCCCGAGTCTAGTGCAGAGCACGTGCACACCAATGTGTAGGGCACACCAAGGAAGCGCTCAGCAGAGCTGCTATTTCAGTGCTGCTTTGTGCAGAGTCAAGATCCCCCCAGCCGCCCGAGGGAGAGCGTGGGAAGGTGTTTCAGGTCTTCCCTCTGTTTCCCGACATCCACGGCACCACGAGCTCTGTGGGCTGTGTCTCCTCACTGCCCCACCTCTGCCTCTCTCCCAGTCCTGTGGTCCCATCTCTCACCCTTTCTCTCCTGGGCAATTATAATAGACTCCCCCAGCTTCCTCACAGCAGTCAGAATCTTCCCTATCACATCCGGGGCCACTGTCCTGAAATGATTCTATGTGTGTCCCTGTCACTCCCTGTGTCAGCCCTGCCATCCCTCTCACGGTCAGATCCAGCTGCCAGCACAGCCTTCAGCCTGCAGGTGAGCAGACACGTCTGACTTCACACCCTGCCTCCTGGCCCTCCCCACCTGCCCTCTCTCACCCACACCCAGTTTCCACTGATGCCCTGAGCCCACCGGGCACCTTTCCTGCCCCTGCCCATGGCCTTCTGCACTTTCACCTACCGAGATTTGGAAGGAGGGCTCCAGATCTGGGTGGAGGCATCGCTCTGTGCTCCCCCACCCCTACTGGCCTCCACGCTGGCAGCATTCGCCTTGGCAAAGGGCAGCTGACCACATGTTTCTCCTCTCCCAGGAATGGAGACAAAACCATCGTGCTCAGCAATGGGCAGAAAGAAATCCACACGGCCCAGTTCAAGAGGAGGGAGTACCCGGATGGCACCGTCAAGACTGTGTATAGCAGCGGCCATCAGGAAACCAAGTACGCGTCCGGGAGGGTTAAGATCAAGGATGCAGCTGGAAAGATGGTCCTCGACAGGAAGTAGATCAGCCCTCAGCACGCAGCATCACACAGGAAATGCCGACCACAGTTTCTTCCTCAAACAGACAAAACTGATACCGGTCAGCTGCCCCAGACGCCCAAACGATCTTGGAGAGCAAGCAGGACTTTAGGACTACCCAAGCCATCCAGAAACTGCGAGGGAAAAGGCGTTCTCTCCCGTATTTAGGAAACGTGGTTACAGCGGCGTCCGTCAGAGAACAGGAGGTCACAAAAGAACGACTTCAGTGCCAGGGACTGTTTTCACCTTAAATGATACTGTGCAAGCGTCACTGCAGTCCTCAATATTTCGGTAATGCGATTTTGAGTAACTCGAGTACAGTGAGCTACCTTGGCTGTGAAGGAAAAACAGGAATTCTACTACGATGACAGTGGACGGAGGCCTTTCTCTTCAGATGAATGCCAAACCAATACAAGGTCGTTTGTCAGGCAGAACCGGCAAAACAAATCCATATGAAAGAGCCACTTTGGCTTTGGCTGAAGAAATGGACCTGCCGATTGCTTTGCTTATTTTGAATCAGCTTATACTGAGAACCGTCACTGAAGCAAACAGAATGACACACTCCTGTACCGACGAAATGCACTTCTCATACCTCGTGGGAGATCGGGGAAGAAACAAACGCGCAATCTGATCAGGAAGCCATGCTCAGGCATCAGATCACCTGCCTGCCTGGGAGTCTCCATTAAATGTATTCTGCAGCACACGCTCCAGGGGTGATGGGTGTCGAGTCTGTCATCCAAATAAGATGAATTCCATGTGCGCATTCAGCTGGAAGCCCTTTGTGGAATACACGTTCTGCAGCATTAGAAGTCAGTACAAGCTTATTAAAACATCATTTCCTACTGATTTGCAAAAAGCCAGAATTTACTTTTCGTTCTTAACAATCTCCTGAAGGCTTCTCATTAGATGTACAATCTGATTAGATTTCTTACATTAAGTTTGAGGAGGGGTCTCTATCAGCCTATTTGCAGGCACATTCATATGCAAATTGTACACAAGCATATTTACTTGGTGGAAAAGGTAGCATTAAGACAATCACAGAAAAACGACCAAGTATAATGGGCTGGAAGGTGGGGTGAGTCACTGTCTACTGTCACCTTGGAGAAAACCCTCTGCTGACCCCCACTTCCTTTTCTGGAAGTGACATTTCATCCCCTGCAGGGCTCAGGGATGCTGTGGGGATGGAGGAGAAGGCACCAGCCAGAGTCATCCCATCCGTTCCATCCGGGTGCTGCTCCTGAAGGGTGCCTTGGAGCGAGCCCTCCACCCTCTCCCGATTGGAGTCCTGCATGGCTCCATGTGTTCCTAAGGAGCACAGGTCCCTCTCACAGCACGGCCCCCAAGTTTCATGGGCATTAGGCCCAGTCTGCCCCTCCCACCTCTTCTCTCCCACCCCCCAAGACCCATATCATGCAGAAGGCCCTCCTTTAGGTCAACCTGGCTTCCTCTGACTCATCATTCCTTCTGCAAACCTTCCTGGGCTCACCCCACCCCACCCCCAGGCTAAGGCCCCCAAGTGCTCCCTGATCCCCACACCCCTCAGGTCCTCCTCACACTGTTTCCCAATGACCTGGGGACCTGTTCGTCCCAACCTCGACAGCACGTTGAGGATGCAGCTCAGTCACCTTCACCTTCGCTCCCCAGCATCTAGAGAGGAGAGTGGAGCTTCAGAGGCTGAGGGGTACACGAAGAGGTGAGAACATGGAGGGGAGCCTCGTGAACTCTGATTATTGGTGTTAAAGTGAAAGGGGTTTTGGTCTGACTCCCAAAAACGAGGGCTCTCTTCAATGTTCAGATGATCAAGTTCACCTTTGAAATGACCTTTTCTTGAACATTTAAAGATAGATTCTAATTAGATTAAATTTCCTTACATCATTAGTACTGCAATTATAGGTTGAGCATGGCGGATTCCTTTGAACAAACACCTTACACAAGAGACACAAGCAACAGTTAAGATTATCGCCTCCTTTGTCCAAACCTCCACCTTGAACCTGTTCCTCAGCGTGAGCCATTTCTTCCTTAGTCTGCATTTTCCATCCTTTCCTGGAATCTTTACTGTAATTTTATTTTGTGGTCGTTTTTACTTCTTCCCTGCTTTAGAGAAAACAGCAGAAAGCCTGCGGTTAGTCTTGCCGTGGGTGTGGGTGTGACAGCGGGATGGTGCTACTCCCTGGTCATTCCTCCTCCGGCATCTTACACTCAAGTCACTGGACATCGGACTCCACCTTTCACGGTTGTATACACGTGCGACATTAGCGTTCCTGCGTTTGAATGAACGCTTTCACAACAGTTTGAGTATTTTACAACCTGGGATCAGGCCACCTCATGACTTCCATTGCCTTTGTGAGATCTTCTTTTCCATTAAAAAATCGAAGCATTTAAGTTTTTTAACTGCATTTGTATAAAAGTGGGTATATCAGTTGTGCATGTTAAAACATTTTCTTTTAGTACATTTTTTTCTTCTCATTTTTAAGAGAGATTACAACATTTTCGTGTGCTCCTAAAAGTATCCTAAGCCCTCATGTGCCTGATGGAGACGGTGGCCCTGCCTGGCGTCTCGCCTTGCAGATTTGAGTCTCCCCTGCCTGGAGTGCTGTCATGCATGGTCCTGCTCCCTGAGATGTCAGCGGAGCCATGGTGGCTGTTGCAAACACGGGTATTCTTCACCTCCCACATGGGCAGTGCCGCCCCAGAGAAGGTTCATCCTGGAAAGGCAGGCTGGGACTGTGGGGCAGCTCTCTGGGCTCACGTTTGGGGGTCCTCAGGGGTCCTCGGTTGTCTCTGCCATCAGGGTGGGCTTTATTTTCTGCTCTTGGCTCAATGCCCACTTTTCCCAGCCTCCTTGGATTTCTTGTGGTTTCCCAGGTTTCTTATCTGCATCTGCAGATAGACACAGTTTATATCTAAACTTTAGAAGCACACAACAGAAGGAATAAAACCACATTCCCCATTTATTAAAGGGAATGAAATTAAATGTGTCTTAGAATCTTTTATCACAACTATCTTTGTATGTAACTTTTTTCTTCTGAATATCATTTTCCATTTGTACTTCATTTAATCATATGTCATTATTTATTTTTTCTTAGGAGTTGATTCTCAAATGATCAAAACTTTTCTGTCTTTGTATCTCTTCCCCTGACATCTGTGGATACATCCTTGCTCGCTGGGAACATGGCACCTGGCAGGCTGCATCAGTTCCTGGGGCTGCTGTCTCACCTAACAGGCAGACCTTGGGGACACTGTGGGTTCGGCTCCAGGCCGCCACAGTAAAGCTCACATAGCAACAGAGCAGGGCACACTAATATTTTGTTTTCCCAGTGCCTATAAGGTTTGGTTTATATTACACTGTAGGCTAATAAGTGTGCAATAGCATTAGGTCTAAACTATGAATACACCTTAATTTAAAAATACTGTATTGCTTTAAACACGCTAATAATCATCTGAGCCCTCAGTGAGTCATAATCCTTTTGCTGGTGGGAGGTCTTGCCTGGATGCTGACTGATCAGGGTGGAGGTTGCTGAAGGTCGGGGTGACTGTGGCAATATCCACAGTAAGACCACAGTGACGTTTACTCTGTCTGAATCTTCCCTTCATGAAAGATTTCTCTGTGGCATGCGATGCTGCTCCATAGCGTTTTACCCACAGAATTTCTGTAAACATTGGAGTCAGTCCCCTCAAACCCCACACATTGCCTCATCACCTGAGTTTATGGAATATTCTAAACCCTCAGCGTCTTTCCCAGGAGTCAATTCTATCTCGAGAAACCACTTTCTTTGCTCAACCACAAGAAGCCAGTCCGAATCCATTCAAGCTTTATTCTGAGATCGCAGCAATTCGGTCTCACAGTTGGGACCTTTTTAGGCCCCACTTCTGATTCTAGTTGTCTTGCTCTTTCCCCCTCATCTGCAGTTACTTCCCGCACTGAAGGAATGAACCCCTCAAAATCGCCCATGAGGAATGGTATCAACTTCTCCCAAACTCCTGTTAAAGTTGATATTGTTTCTCCTCCCATGAGGCATGAATGTTTTAATGGCAGCTAGAATAGTGAATCCTTTCTAGAAGGTTTTTGCTTGACTTTGCCCAGATCTCTCAAAGGAATCACTCTCTATGGCAGCTATAGCTTAATGAGATGCATTTCTTAAGTAACAAGACTTGAAAGAGGAAATTACTCCTTGATCCATGGGCTGCAGGATAAATGTGGTGTTAGCAGGCATGAGAGCAACATGACTCTCCTTGAACACCTCCATCAGAGCCCTTGGGGGACCAGGCACAGTAACATTTTGAAAACGGTCTTTATTTCTGAGTGATAGGTCTCAACAGTGGGCTCAAAATATTCAGTAAACCACTCTGTAAACAGATGTGCTGCCATCCTGGCTTTATTCTTCTACTTAGAGAGCACAGACAGAGTTGATTCAGCATAAGTCTTAAGGCCCTTAGGATTTTGGGATCAGTAAATGACATTGACTTCTATTTCAAGTCACCTGCTGCATTAGCTCTTAACAAGAGATGTCCTGTCCATCGCGCCCTTTGAAGCTTTGACGACAGGCACTGACTTCTCCTCTCTAGCTATGAAAGTCCCGGATGGCATCTTCTTATAACAGAAGGCTGTTTCAGCTACACTGACAGCCTGTGGTTTGGGGTGGCCGCCTCCATCACGTGTCTTAGCTGGGTCTCCAGATAACTCGCTGCAGCTTCTCCGCAGCACCTGTTGCTTTACCTTGCACTTTCATGTTACGGACGTGGTTTATTTCCTTCAACCTCAAGAACCAGCCTCTGCTACTTTCAAACTTTTCTTCTGTAGCTTTCTCCCTTCTCTTAGGCTTTGTGGAACAGAAGAGAGTTGGAGCCCTGCTCTGGATTAGACTTTGGCTTGAGGGAATGTTGTGGCTGGTTTGATCTTCTATAAAGACCAGTCAAACTTTCTCCATATCAGCAAGAAGGCTGTTTCACTTTCTTGTCATTGTTATGTTCACTGGAGTAGCGCTTCTAAGTTCCTTTAAGAGGCTTTCTTTGCATTCACAACCTGGCTACCTCCTTGGCGCCAAAGGCCTTGCTTTCAGTCTATCTCAACCTTGAGCAGGCCTTTCCCACTAAGCTTAATCCTCTCTAACTTTCGATTGAAAGTGAGATGTGTGGCTCTTCTTTTACTTGAACACTTAGAGGCCACTGTAGGTTATTAATGGCGTAATTCCACAACTGTGTCTCAGGGAATAGGAACACAGTGTCTGAGGGGAGGGAGAGAGACGGGTGCGGGGGGTGGGGGCAGCTGGTCAGCGGAACACTCGGGACACACGTGACATGTATTCCATTTTCCGTCTTACATGTGGGCGCTTGTTGGTTCCCCAAAACAGTTACAAAGTGAAATCAAAGATCACTGATTACAGATCACCATGACAGATATAATAATAATGAAAAAATCTGAAATATTACAAGAGGCCGGGCGCGGTGGCTCACGCCTATCATCCCAGCACTTTGGGAGGCTGAGGCGGGTGGATCACGAGGTCAAGAGATCGAGACCATCCTGGTCAACAAGGTGAAACCCCGTCTCTACTAAAAATACAAAAAATTAGCTGGGCATGATGGTGCACGCCTGTAGTCCCACCTACTCGGGAGGCTGAGGCAGGAGAATTGCTTGAACCCAGGAGACGGAGGTTGCGGTGAGCCGAGATCGCGCCATTGCACTCCAGCCTGGGTAACAAGAGCGAAACTCTGTCTCAAATATATATATATATTACAAGAATTACCAAAATGTGATACGGAGATGTGAAGTGAGCACAGACTGCTGGAGAAATGGCACCCACAGATATGCCCCAACAGACTTGCCACAAACTCAATCCCTTTAAAAGCAAAGTGCAGCATCTGCGAGGCACAGTGGAACAAGGCGCATAAGACCAGGGCGCTCCTGCCAGCCAAGCCCTCACCTCCCCCGTAAACACAGCGTGGGAAAGCCTGTGCTGCGCGCGGCCGGCAGGGGGCGCTGTTCGCTACACGGGCCGTTGGCGGCGCAGAGCAGCTCGGGGCGCGTCTCTGCGGGGACGCGCTCAGATGGGACTTCTCAGCGTCACCGAGCCGCGCGCGGGGTCGCTGCAGAGCGCGGAGGGTTATTCTCCCCCCGGACCAGGCGGGCCGCGCCCTCAAGGAGCCGAGGGGACCCCGCGAGGCCGCTTCGCCGCCTGCACAGTGGCGCGTGCGCACCCCGGAATCTGGGAGGAAACGTGCACGCAGCGTCGGGACCGCGCACGGTGGCTCCGCCCCGCGGAAGCGAGGAAGGCGACGCGGTCCCGAAGGCGGGGCTCGCAGAGCCAGAGCACCCGGGGAAGGCCGCGGGCCTGGGGCCCAGACAGCGGCGCGGCGGCGCCCGGGGAAGGCAGGGCCTGTCCCAGCGGGGCCCTCGGCGTGCGGCGGCCGCGCGCTCCTTCCCTGCGGTGCCGAGCTGGCTGCGGCCGCGGCCTGAGGACACTCGCGCCCTTCTCTGCTCCGCGGGACGGGCATTCGGCCGCTGCACCCCGAGTTCTCTCTGGGGCCCTCCGCAGCCCACGGCCCAGTCACCCTCAGGAGCACCTCCCAGGCCCGCCCTTCCACTTCTCGTTGCCTTCCAGGCGGTTCTGGCCTCGGCAGCCCTTTCCTCCTCCGCTTGTGCCCTGGAATCCCTTGTGCCCACATCCGGGGAAACGGGGATCCGGTGTTGAAGCAAAATGAGGAAGAACCGTCCCCGTCATCTTCACACTTCCGTCTCCTGGGGCTTTGTCAGACTCCGAGATCTCCACGCATTTTCCCGGGGGCCTGGAAAGGCTTCCTGGAGCCCCACCTTTCCTGCTGCTCTGGCCGAGCACCCAGTTTGGGGTGGAAGAGGCAACAAGAACACCCAGGATCACTGGACCCTGCTGCTCTCGGGGCCCCGGCACCCCCCGCTGCCTCTCCGCCTCTCCTCTTCGGGCTTTGGTCTGATGGGCACTGCCCGAGCTTTCCAGTGCACCTGCGGGCGGCAGTAGGAAAACGCAGCCGGCTCCATCTTCGTAGGAGGGAAGCCTGGGGCCTTTTCCGTGACCACCGGGTACCGCCTGCCTTCTCCTCCGCGTTCAGCCTCGGGAAGACCGTCTCTGTTCCGTCCACAGCCCGGGCACCGAGGGCAGGTGCTGGGCACGTAAATTTCCTGTCTCGGTTGAGACTCTGCGTGAGCTCGTTATGGCTTCGGTTTAATCCGCGCACGTTTCACCCTCGGAGAGAGGCTGCCCAGATGGGGCAGCGCTTCCTGACAGGGGGCCCGAGGCTATTCTTGCCCTAAAACTTCAGACGCTCACATGAAACCGTCCTTCCTGAGACACCGGCTTTCCGTTTCTGTGATGCCGACCTTACCCCTGAAGTCATGGAAACCCAGCCGGTGATGAAGAAGCGCGTATTTTAAAGCCGGAGGGAGACTGGAATCTGGGCTCTGCTTCTCAGGTGGTTCCGGTTGCTTGATTTAGTCTCACTGGAATGTCTGAGCATTTGTGGGAAAGGCCCTTAACTGGATTTGTCAAACCCCATAAAGCAGGAGCCGAACTGACGTTTAAAATCGGAACAGCCTTGACGGGCTTGTATTCCTACTTGTGTCCTTTGAATCTTTCCTGGGAACAGGGTTGAGACGCTATGAATGTATAAATGTGAGAAAACAGGCAAGAAACACTGTTCATTCCAGCCTCATATCCAAACCCCTGGAGCATGTCCTCCGATAGATCCTCAGAGGGTCCTGGACTTCAGTTCTGGCCCCTGCTGCCTGCAGACTGACAGTGGTTCCGCCCACCTGGGGACCCTGGAGGCTGCGTCCAGAAGTGCCCTTGCAGGCTGACTTCTGACCTTGGTCCACTGTGGGTCTTTTCAACTGGCTCCAGCTCTTCTCAGCTGTGACCTGCAAACAGGCCTGCCCACCCAGGAACCTTCTGAGAGATATGCCTGTCTGAGCTTCCTCCTCCCCACCTTTCTTTCTTAAATTAAAAAAATTGTTTTTTTCTTAAGTGATAAGAGTCTTGTTATGTTTCCCAGGCTGGACTTGAACACCTGGGCTTAAGATATCCTCCCACCTTGGCCTCCCAGAATGCTGGGATTGAAGGCATGAGCCTCCATGCCCAGCTTTTTTATTGTAGTAAAATGCACGTAAGATAAACTGTCCCATTAGTGATACTGAGTGAATTTCCCATGTGGTATAACCAGCACCTCTATATAGTTTCAGAACATTTTTGTTGCCCTGAAGGGAAACCACCCACCCATTAGCAGGCACTCCTCATTACTCCTCCCCCAAACCACCAAAGTGCTTTAGAAAGATTTGCCAGTTCTCACATTTCATATCAATGGAGTCATTCCATATGGGACCGTTTGTGTCTGACTACGTTCACTAGAATAATGCTTTCAACTAAGCTACAGGAATTTTATGTCTGAGGACCGCAGATGCTTTCCACCTGGCAGGAGTGGCAGCAGACCTTCATCTGGAGCTGTGACCTCCTATGACGTGTTGGTGACCAAACAGCAGCCAGGCCAGCGGGGGCTCCATTTAAATATGGCTGAAGGAAGCCCCCACCCCGGGGAGCTCTTTGGTACAAGTCTGATTTAGAGCCCACGATCTATAAACCACAGAGTCATCAGGGTTTTCAGTGACTCGTCTCACTCTGAATGACTGTCTTTAAGTTACCAAAATAATTTTCACCAAATATGGTTGATTAAAACACACACACACACACACACACACACGAGTTAACTCCTGGCTTCTTTTGTCCTGTTTTCACCTAAGCATCCTTTTAAAATGTTATAGTAATCTTTTTCTCACGTTTAAATACGTACATAGCATGATTATAGTGTAGCCCGTTCAGTTACAGTAGGAGGCTGGGTGGTGTCTGGGGAAGCAAATAAACATGCGACGTAATGTAGTTTCATCACCACCGGAACGTGCTGTGCCTTGTCAGAGCTGGTATATTTTCATATACGGCCACATCTTCAGTCCCAGTGACAGAGTTCACATGCCGATGGCACGGGTGAGGGACTTGAACTATCGCTTTCTCAAGGATACGAATCCTTGGTTTTTAAAAATCCATGTTGCTTGTCCTGGTTTTATTTCTCACCACTTGGGAATGTCGCTTATTCATGAGTTTCTGGAGCTCTCGGATTATTCTTTTGACATTTAGTCCATTCCTGGAAGCTCCAAGGGTAGCTTCATTGAAAGGAAAAACAAGAACGAAGTTGCCTGCTCGGGTGTCTGGGGCTGAGCCGTGGTCTGAGAGGACAGGAGGGGAGGTCTTGGTCTTGCCGGAGTGCGACTGCACGAGGGACCCGTAGGGCATGCGTGTCTTGTGCGGTGTGTGCCTCCTCCGTAACTTGGGCTTGCTTTGTGGCGTCTCCCTCGTGGACAGATGAAAATCCTCCTGCCCACTCACCTCCCCTTCCAGCTGGGAGGCGGGTGCAGCTTCAGGACACAGGCTCACAGCTGCCTCCACCACGGAGTCATCCTCATTGTAAGTTCTGCCTGTGAACGAGAGGGACTCATAAGGAAGACAGTCGTGAGCATCAAGCCCGCCTCTGTCCCTCTTTGTGGCATGGATGTTGGAATTGCCATGTGTGGCCTTACTGCCTTCTCTCCCCTCATTTCTTAGCCCATGTAGGTAAATCAGGTCAATAATATCGTGGATAAGTTTTCTCTTCACCAACACATCTGTTGAACAATCCAAGGTCAACGCTGGGCTATAGTTGACCTCTAAAAGCCATGGTTTCAAGTTCTCATCAATCAAAATATCAAACCCAAAGAGCTCAAAGCAATTGGCAGCAAAGGGGACGGATGGTGCAATGGCGAGAATGGTGAGAATAACCACGCGCTGGATTTTCTGCCACAAAAGCAGATCGTCCACATCCCAGCTACGAAGGTAGGAGAAAAATCTGCTGAGGGTCCACTTACAACCGTGACCAACCCCTTCTTTGATCTTCCCATAGGAGACCCCGGATTTATTGATGCTGCTGTTGGTCAAATGGGCGTAATCGTCTTGCAGGTTACCGAGGTCGAACTTTTCTGTGGCGAACCGAACCAGCCCTTCCTGATAAACGTAGATGGTCAGAGGCTTAAAGCCGGTGACACAAACATAGATGCGGAGATCACTTTTATATCCGCCAATAAGTAAAGGGTTGGAGATGTATTTCTGCACTATGTACGCATCGTCAAAGATGAAGTCTTTAAAGTCACGGAAAATGAGGATCCCCCTCCCACGAGACGACTCGGCAGGCTTGCAAATCCAGTAGCTGTGCTTGGCGCCTGCTGTCTGCCTCTCCTGAAAGTATTCAGCCACGAACCTGGTGTAGTCGGCGGGCATGACGAACGTCGGGGGTGTGAACTGGTACAGGGAAGTGCCGTACATCCTCCCCATGTGCTTCAGGTGTTTGGCCAGAGAGTCTTTCCTGGTGAGCTTGGTTGTTCCGGGGTGGTGGTTGAGCTGCTGCCACGGTTTAACGCTGCTGTGTTCGCTCATTCGGAAAGAGGACGTCCTCCAGTACAGGTTCCAGTCCTCCACGTTCTGCTCCTGCTCATCGAACTGATTCCGCCCTCGCTCCAGGAGGACGCTTTGCACCACGCCCGGGGTGGTCTCATCAACTCGAAAAACCAGTGGCTTTGAGAGGGCCCCTGAAGGTTCATCTTCCGCCATCAAATCAGGTTTTCTTTTCTAAAAATGGATCATTGAGAAAGGTCAGAGGAGTGTCCCGGATTATAACCTAGTCGATTTTCCTGATGAAAGCGTGCACCTGGTGCGCCCAGCCGTCCCGCCTCTCCACACGCCCTCTGTGCAGTCCCACTGGACACCCCGTCTCTTCACCAACACGCCCATCTCTGCTCCCTTTACTAGAATACATCCATCTCGTGCCGGGCACCCTTTACTCTATTCTTCAGAGTGTTCCCTTCTACTGCATTGTGTTAGTAACAGTCAAAACTGTTTGCAAATACTCCATCACACTTTCGAGGGCTGAGTCCCTGTCCACCCACGTCTGTTGGCCTAAAAAGTGAGCATGATGAAGAACAAAACAGGAGTGTCGACTTTCATTTAGTTAAACGGATTTGAGTATGTTACAAGACGTGTGAAACAATGATGTCATAAAGTGAGTAGGCGTTCTATTTGCCTGAGAAATTTCAGAAGGCCACACACCTACAGTGGTTCCCCAAGCACCCACCTGACCCGCCAGGCCCACTGGAGGGGTTGGGTCACTCAAACAGTGGTTTTAGTGAGAACGAGAGTTGGAAAGAACAACTTATGTTTTCAAAACCTATTTAGTGAGAACGATAATGTTGAGATTTTACCTGACATTTTAAAAGGCAAAATGCAGATCAGAATTATGCATTTTGAAGAAGGAAAGCAGAATAATTATTAAGAAGGTCATAACTGACGATGAAGCGTGATGTTTCATTAAGTTCTAGAGAAAGGGTAGAAAGTGTCAAAGCCTCTTGGTAAAAACGTACGTATTTCTAAGTCCTTCAACAACGTGCTCATCTAAATTTTCAACTTAAGGTGATTTTGATTCGTCTTGTTCTGCGTA